TATCAAAGAATTTAATTCCCATAAATTGTTCCTTATCCAGTTACCTACGTTCGTTATGTTACCCGACACTATCGTTGGCTTCTCAAGTAAAATCCTTGTATACCTAAGTAATATGAGTAGGTATATAATTAATATCTTACATTTAAAAATAATGAAATTGTAACGAATGACTTAAGTAATAGAATTCATTACCATTTCTTTTTCTTTAATGAAATATTGAATCCCAAGAATAATAGTGCATACTCTAGGTATTCAGCAGTTTTCTTGTCTTATAGGAACTAGATATTATGAACCTTTTTTATTTAAAAATGTAAATTCATGATAACCATGTCGTGGTTGATTACATGCGTGAAGTATTCAAAATATTGATCTGTGCGATTGATAATAATTAAGTATAACGATAAATGTGTACCTACTCTTTCAGTTTATAGCGCCCTGGTACTTGAAAGTAAACTTTGTAGTGCCGTTTGCACTTCTCTGGTGTTGTGTTGTAGATGTGTGTGAAAAAATTAAGCAAATAAACTAATAACGTATTGTTCTGTTGCAAATTAATTATATTGACTACAAACGAGTTATCTCACTTTGCCCTAAAAAATTCTTCTTTGTAATATAAGTACCTATAACCAACGTACAAATTGTGAAAGCAGACGGTATTTTATATGGACAAAATAATATCGAATATTTAATTACGTCACGAAAAAAACCTGCCAAAATAGAATTCTACAGCGGATATTACAAAAATATAAGTAACATAAATATAAGTGTAAACAGTTATACAAAATCATCATTAGAGAAATTTGCACAAATTAAACAACGCCCCACGCATATACAGCGTGCTACAGGATACAAAAAACATAAAATTAATATTTTTTATTTCATTCATACAAATTAGCAATACAAAAGCCGAGACTACGAGCATTGTAACAATAATTATAAAACAGTGATTAGCATGTAATTGGTTGGAGCCGGTGCGTTTTTGCAGTGTAAATAATTTTGAACGTGATAATATCCGTTCGTTTTCGCGATATTATCTTTGTAGAACGGGAGCGAGGTCCGTATGTTGTTTCATAAAATTTTATATCGTACTTAATTGTAATTATCAATGTTTTTTTAAATTTGATTAATTTAATTTATGTGTATTGTACAGTTTCAATTTTACGAGTTTTCGAAAACCACGTGAAAAGAGAAGACGTTATGGTGATGTTTGAAGTACTTATATAGATATTAGATACATAATAAAATTTTTATGCGTATAATTTTAACTAGTCCTTAATATTGGTAACGCTAAATAGAGTACCTATTGAAATAAAACGTAAAGGGCCAATTAAAATTTAGCTTCCTATGGCCATTGCCATGCATAGAATAAAATATGACGAAGATTCAGTTAAATTTGTTATTTCCAATAATAATAACCAATTTTATTTCTGAAATAGTTATTTTTTACAAAACATGCTTTTAAAACATACATAAATGGCACTGAAATAAGTGTATTGCATCAAAAAGTAACTACCTTGATGAGTTGCTGTTATTTTGTTTTTCTTTACACCTTTATTCAACTGGTAGTAGTGGTAGATAGATACCTACGCGGTGGCAATATTTATAAAAACCACCATAAAATAACTCCATATTTCTTATATGGAATTATTTTATTATAGGACCTCTTCAGCAATTGCAGGAATATAGAAAAACGTTTGAAATAAAGTGTATTAAGAAATAAAAACGACTGTATATTTATAAAAAAATATAGTTATGGGTTCAAGTAGGCAGTTTCAGGCCAAAATAGTAATAAAGTTGAACGTAATTTAGTCATTGAATTAACAAATGTCGTTTACGTCGTCAATAATTTAAGCATTCACGTCGGCGGCAGGTGTTGGCATTACTACATTTATTCACTGTTCAACCCTTCGTATCGATTTGGTCATGCAATGGAATATTTGTTACCTTTATTACTCATACGATATTTTACAGTAATTGCTATTTTATTTTGTACTCGGTTGTAAAATACTGTAAAAGCAAATATTGGTAAGATTTTATCATATTATTTTGCATAAGTTTTTATTTTATTTTACGGAATGTGTCGTAAAATGCAACAAAACTACTTGGTTTGTCAGCTAATAGTGTTTATGATGTAATTGAAAATAATAAGTAATGTTTTTTCTTACACATCACATATCGTACTTAAGTAACGAGATACCTACAATAGATACTTATCATAATTATCACTTCATGTTTGTTTCCTTGAAAATCGTTTACTCCTGTTTACGACAAGCTCTGATGCCTCCACACCAGTATAAACTGCAGTTATCATTAATACCAGAACAATTCACTCGTAATGATGAAGTTATTCAATCAGCATATTAGATTCTATTACAATTCGCAATAAAGTTTACTGCGTGTAAAATATTATTAATTTATTCCGATCATGACTGCCACGACCAACTATGGCCAACTACTTACAATATAAGGGCTATCTACATATTCATAAAAAAATATTTGCAATGTACAACCCAAAGAGTATCCGTCTCAGTGTTATTATTTTAAAATCACCTGCATGTCGAGTTAATTGATATTTTAATGAGCTATTTGTATTTTAAGCGGATAATTAGAATGTAAAAACATTTTGCTGCTTACATAATTTGTCTAAACATAAGAATTTAAACCTACCTAACAATGAAATGTTTTGTAAATTTTATTATACGAGTGTATTATAATAATACATTTAATATGTAATGCTTTTTCGCGTTGTTGTTCACAAATTATTGTTTGCTAAACTAAGTATTCCTAAAGACTCGAAGAATAACTCGTGGTCACTTGCAACATAGCGCTCAAATGTTGCCTACGTAACCGACGATCCTGTAATATCTGATTAGCATATAATTGTCGGATACAGACGCGCTTTTATGCCATAAATCTTCTTTACAAAGGCCGATACGCACATACATATAATTACATACATAATGTCAAGCTATAGGTATTCTAGCTAATATGGAGTAATACCAACTTGGGTGCATATTTAGTACTTTCAGGATGGTCGAACAAACTAAGTGCTTCAACTTTTTTACCATAAACATGGAAAATATAGCCCGTTATGATGAACACAGAAAGTCTTTCTGAAATTCATTTGCATTTCATGAGCATGTCTCGACAGGGTTATACTGCGTGTGTTGTTTTATAGTAATTGTTAGTTACATAAGACTTTACAACCGAAAACATGTTCAGAAATGGGGATGATGACAGGGTATGAAAATTAAAAATATAATTAGTCCGTAACTTAGGTAATAAAAAAATATTAGACACGTATTTTTTTATTTTGTTGTATAATAAAACAATACTTAGATAAAACGAATCAAAGTTTAGGAGTGGGGGCTAAAACGTCATTTCTTAGTATAAAATGTACTGAGAAGTGACGTCACGCGACATTTCAAATCAATATATCTTCGAAACTATTCGTTTCCGTAAGAAAATAAAAAATACGTGTCTAATGTTTTTAAATAATCTACCAGACGGACATTAAAATAAAAATTAGTCGTCTACCCTACAATTTGTGACTTTTTGTGTACCTATAGCCTTTTCAAAAACGAGTAGTGGTATGTGTGCCTAGACTTCTAGAGTGGATTAACTAAGCTTAAGTGTGTATACAGTATACACTAGTTTCAGAAACAGTATTCTCAATGCTAACCACTGTTAAAACTACTCCTTGTTAATGAACTATTGTTCAATCACAAATCAACTCAAGACGAAATATTATTGAAGAAACGAAAATCTCAAGTAGTATCAAAATTTTGTAGCAACAAAGTGACAGTCTTTTCACACTCGTCAATCAGCGCTACGTCAAACACGCAATCCACTAAAGTAGCAAAACAGAAACTCATTTCAAATTATGGCTATACCAAATTCCCAAATGCGTCACGATTTAACAACACATTCGATAAAAATGATAATGCCTGAGAGAAGTCGATGCCTACTGGCGCCATTCAAAACAGTAGCATGCTATTATTGTAAATTTAGAATTTAAATTGAGATCCTCGAGTGAAAGATTTATATTATTTGACATTTGACCATCGCTTGTTCTTTAATGAGTTAACATTCAGATAATAATAACGAAATACGTGGTCTTATAAACAGAGCGATAGTAAAATAAGTACCTACTTATAAAGGTAATGGAAAGCTTACGTAAGTTGTATTTTAAATTACCTACTTCTAGTTTTTGCCTACTTCAGTGAAAACCTATGTTTGCTAGAAGAAACGTAGCGCCTTATTATTTATACTTGCACATAAATGATGTAGGTATACATGTACAATATGTATACATTAGGCACATCGTCTCTTGTTATTTATTCATTGAATGTAAGCTATATTTCAAGGCAGTATCAAAAACTGCTCGCGTGATCGAAGCGATTCGGCGCGATGCCGCGATAAAAGCGCGATTTCATTTGAAACGCGCAATCAATTAAACTAGACATTTGACTTACTAGTCCGAATACTCGATTTTGCTTTATTTGTATCAGCGGAACGATTAATGTCGATTTTTATTTGAAGTTCAAGATAAATTTTTAACAATACTTAAAAATAGATATGAAAGGAAACGTTTGTTAACTTAAAATGGAACTACCTGTATAATAAGTTAAAATGTTTTCAATATATCTTGTAGGTAGCAACTTAAAGCTTAATAAATGAAACTTATTGAACATTTAAAAAATCTTCTATAGCTGCTGGCCTTCAAAAAAGTCCTATACTTTTTTTCATTACCAAGCGCATCTTAGTAAATACATAGTGGTACCAGGCTAACAGAGACAGCAAAGAGGTTGTGGCGAGCGCGTATCGATATTCTCAACGAATGAATGACAATTGAAGATTACAGTGTCACATGTAAACTACCTACACACACAAGCACAATACACGTGTTGTATATTCGTCGAGTGATAAGGAAATAGCAATCTGTGTCTGTCTGCAAACCAACTTGAAAGTTTTTATCATTGTCTACACACAAAATAACTTACCGATATCGTGCATGCGTTGTTGGTTGTCTTTTTGAGACAATGCTGCGAGGAGCCCAGCATCGCCTACTCGTTGTCGAGCGACCGCGATACCGACAGGAATAGATCCTGTCAAAAAAATGTGTGTCATGTTACATGAAGATATTTAGGGATTACCAATATCACGTTCAAATTATTTTTGTCAATTTCAATTTTAGAGCTACTTTAAAAATATATTATGAAGAAGAAAATAGAAGTATTCTACTAAAGAACTACGTCACAATTTACACAAAAAAAAATTAAACGACTTCATTCAGAACGAAAGGAAAAATTCTTCATCGCCATCTCGCGTAAATATTGTACGAATGTACTAGGCAAGCATAATAACGTAGAAGCTTACCGTTGTTTAGCGATGCCGGTATCGCTGGTGGCGGGTCTGGCTTGTTACCAGGCGACGCTTGTTCCAGCTTGACGGCAACCAGTTCTGAAACTTGGACGTGTTGAGGTTCCCGCTTCACCTGGACTTGTAGATTTTGTCCCGCAACCCCAAGCCAGGTTACGGGATTTGTTCTACTACAGCCACTGTCCGTGTGCATGACCTGCGGAATTTATTTTTTATCAGAATAATAAAAATGAACTGTTTTGTTAGATATAATAAGTACCTCAGTAAATTACATCACAAACACCAATAAAAAGCTCAACAACACATTTATAAAAAAATACGACTATTTCCCATACATTAAATGAAAAACAAATAAATAATTTTTGTTCTAAATTATTTTGCCTCGTAAGCTCATACATGCATGTCCAATTTAAATGTAGGTAAGCATTAATTCCCTTGCAAGTAAATAAATAACACTATTATTTTCACTACCTTTTTTGGAGAATTTGTGAGGCAAGTGTTGCATGACCGTTTTGCCTGTTCGGTCTTGATAGTAAGCGGTTGCATGACTCCGATACTGTCCAGCATCTGCCGCTGGTCACCAGGACAACATAAAGAATCAGGAAGACAGGCTTTGCCCAGTTTAGCTTCTTCCATTTTAGTGTGGTCCCTGTCCGTAAGAAAATAAATTGCGTAATTAGGGCACTTCCCCGCAGCTCACCTTAGTCCTAGATAGTGTCAGTTCCGCCTAGTATTCATAATATGACACTAGTTCCAACTAGTTGCGAGTTGTTTAGTTTGAAGTCACCCAAAAATCCCAAAACTAGGTACAAATAAAATCTCTATCGAAGTACATTGAGTAATCAGTCATATCGAAATCTTTATTTGAATTGGCTAACTGTAACCTAATTATATTATTCGAGAGTGTGCAAGATGTATAACTTCAAAACAAAATTGACTGAAAAATAGTCGTCGTTAACAAAACAAGCAAACTAAAAGTACATTGAATACAATACAACACATAATAAATTGAATCTGCTGATTTTTAACTTTACACACTGTACTTACTCCGAGCGTCATTTTGGATGGCCAAGTCCTTAAATTACACGTGAGTACGTTTATCATAAAACTTACTTGTCAGTGAGAAGTACCCGCTGCGAGCAGTTGAGTAATTCCAGCTGCAGCGGCGAGTAGGGGGAATTCGGCGGCGGCGTTGGCACGCCGAATGTCGACAACGATGTCGAAAACAAACTCTCCGTCACTGGAACAACTGGATTCATTAATCTTTTGAGTTATGTGACCTTAGTACGGCTTAGTTATTTTAGTGTCTAAAATATTACTGCTATCCTAGTAGTTAGGTCTCTCGTCTAAGCACTAACATGTATTTCTGTCTCGCTCTAGCCGCTTCACGAGTCTAGACGCTTGTGTTTACGTGACGTGTGCTATTGGAAGAATACCTACGACATGTAGGTATTATTAAATATTTTTCTGTGTATAATTATTACATAGAAGTTAGGTGCTAAACATGTAACCTGAAGCAGTTTGAAAGAAATAATATCGTTAATTGTAACTACCATTGAAACGCGAGGTATCGGATTTCAAAAAAGTATAGAGAAATTGTCAGGATAATAAAATACACGATAATACCGACATAACACGGAAGTATCGGATACTAAGTAGTTAGGTACTAGAAACTAATTAATACCACAAGCATATCAATTCATTCGTCTATCAACTTGATAGACTTCAAAATAAGACTAATAAAATAACTCGAGTTTACTTACTTTACTAACCGACATCTGACTCAGATTTCATACCAACGTAGGTACTTAGGTAAGGCACAGGAAAAAATGCCATTCATAATTTTTTCCCTATACGTGTCGAGGCAAATAAGTTTTAAAAATACGAGCTAAAACCGGCACCAAACGGCTAACAAAATAAACTAAACATGAACTCTTTGCGCATTAGCGAACAAAGAGTCTATTTCTGTCTGGCCCAAGGGATCTAAGACCTTAATTACTAATGTCACTCGACAGCCGACTCCCGCGCACATGTGTGTGATTATCAACGGTGCCATACTTGAGCTGTGCGATCTTATTCATTTCATCTGTGAGATCATATTTGGTGAGAATAAATTGTATAATCTTTGGAGTTTTGTTTATTATTGATTGTTAGTTGGTTTTAGATAGAGGATAACGTGAAACAGAATCTCCAGTAGGATCACCCTATAACAATAACAAACACTATTAAGCTAACAAAGTTATACAATGACTTCTTTGCAATTTACCGTGACGCTAGTTTAGGACGGTTGGTCTTTACCAGTAGTTCGTAGTTTTAGGTTTTTAAACTTTTTGAATTATCTTATCTCCATTTCTCTTGTTTTCCTATTCTCTAATATTCCATATCGTTAGTCGTATGTAAGAACCTAGCTAAAAGTTGGTTAGCCTGTAACTCGTAAAGTTAAAACACCTTTGCCTTTTGAGAGATAAAAGGATCAATATTAAGTTATTCCTTTTTTGTAATAAACAAGTAATTTTTGTTTGTAAGTAAATCAGTTGTACGTTGTTCCACATTACACGGGTGTCACTCGCGCCGGTGCGGGCGTAACTAATCGCTTTAATTCGGAACCTCAAAGCAACGCCGTCATTTACTACGCATGTCAAACCAAATATAAACTTCTTAAATGTACCCAGAATATCATGGGAAGAATGCAAATAAACCAAGTTGTCAAAACAGATCCTAGGTTCAGCAGAGTGTTCTTCTTTATTGCTACCTCTACGTAGCTCATTAGTAACCAGGAATTCATAACCATAACTAGTGTTTATTGGATGATTTATAGGTATGAGCACCAAAAATTCTTTCTAAGGATCACCTCGAAAGAGGCAGAAGAGTTCTCAAAAAGGTCTTTTTCTTTCTATTAAAAACGCTGCCATGCAGATGACTTCACTGTCACTTAAATAATATTGTGGGATTGTTTGTTTTAGTCCCAAAAAGTCGTATTCCATCTGAAAGGCGCCTGAATCCAGTTGAAAATGAAAAGCAAACTGACAATTAAGGTAACCAAACAATATGTCTGAAGTGGATATGAATATTTAGTTAGTCGGCCAGTTCTGATGACATAACATCTGCGGCGCGGACAAAGTTGTGGCCGGGCGTCACTTGATCAACACAGCTTATTTACTTATTTACAAGCATTAAGTTGAAAAACCAGTCAAATGACCTACGTACGGACCTCGGGCTTTATTTAAATTAGTTAGACCCCTGAATGAACTCTCGGTTTTAATGTGAATGTGACATTAAAGGTGAACTAAGGATTAACTAATTTTATAATGTTAGCAGTGGTTCACCCCAGATCATTTCACATTGTCACATTTGCATCAGATACAGGCATCACTCACAATACATTCGAAATGATAATTCTCCAAGAATGTTATGCAGCCCTGATCCCAAAACGATCTCTGCCCCCAGGAGAGATTACTCGAAACATAATGTTATATCGCCGGTTGAACCACCGGTGAGCCGGCTGTCAGAAACGTCACGTCAGACATATCCTCACGCCTGTCGCCCGGGGCACATGCAGCCATCACGCGATGTGTAACCCGGTTACAAGAACAACATTAACTCATAAATTCTTTGTTTTGTTTGTTGTTGTTAACGATTGTACCTACGTATGTGATGCATTTTGACATATGTATATGCGATTTTGAAGATAATTTCTATCTAAACTTTTTTGATATGCCATCTAACTACTATATTGTTGCCCTAGCAACTAGAGTATTAATATGTCGCCGACGAGGCTATAAAATAAAAACAAAAAGCTTATTCAGACCAAAAGTCAATGTCCTACGGGTAGAACCAAGTTTGTAATAGTTACAAATAACAAATAACCCACCTTTGTGTATCGTGGGTCGGTTACCGGTCTGCGTCGGGAACAGGGAGTACAACGGGAACCGAGCCACACCTGTGGAAGAAATATCATTTTGTTTCACTGCTCACAATAATTAAAAACCGTTTTATGTAATTTAAGACGCTAATTAAAATAAAACAGAATGGTGGACTAGGAAGGGGGTTGTGTTTGTGTAGTTTATTTTTCGGTGATAATAATTATTAGAAGTCTTACACCATAAAACGAATGGTATAATAAGATTATTAAAAGTCTATTTATGAAAAAATGAATGTAGCATATATTTTTTTATGGCATATTTATGTTGATGAAAAAAAAGACTCCGATTTTACGTTTACGTTTACAAGACTCAGTGTACAAGAAGTAGTGAAATAAAGCGTAAAAAATTACTTTTAGTTTCAGTGTTACGAGTACTAGGCTTCCATACCTTGTTGGAGATCAGTGGGCGGGCGGGAGCGGGCGCCCCCCGCCGCCCCGCCCAGCATCGCCTCTCGTGTTGAACCACCTCACCACCTGTGAACATCGCCACGTTATTACTACGGCCGTTAAATTTATTATTTACCTGTAAAACAATATAAACGTATAAAAAATGCTATTAAAGCCATACACAGTTTCGTCAATATTTTATTTTATAGAGGTAAAATCCCATGAATATAATTTAATTACAAAATTGATATTTTGTTAAGTGGCTGTTGTTTAGTCAAGAACTTAAGTATTCATTTATAACTAATACCTATTTGCATTAATTAGTCACCTATTTTAACATATTTGTTTATTAATTAATAGTAACGAGATAAGAGAAAAATAATACTTAACACAACAATAAATATCTACATAAGTTTTATCATTTTACTATTTATAAAGTCGCCGCTACTTATTTCAATATTGTAAACAAACTAAATAGGTTTGTCTAATTTAGCGGTGCGTCATCGTCGGTCGTAGCCAACAAACACTATACGGAAACAAAACACTTTAATAATACTAGCTCTTTTTAAGTCTGTCGCCCTAGTCTACTGAAACTTCATTCACTTTCAAATCTGAAAGAATAGAATGGATCTGACGTTACGTTAAATTAAATGTTTTTTTACAACAGAAAAGTTGATACAAATTTAAACAAAGTGTAGGTGATCGCCATAATGACTAGAAACCGATGCACCAGAGTAACAGCAATTAAAAAGAGGTAGGTTGGGCAATCACTTTGACGTCACAGATTTCGGACAATATCGGCGATTGAGTCGGACGCGAGTGGGACATTGATTGAAGTATGATTTGCTTCAGTTTTTTAGTCATTCGGAAAACACTAAATATTATTTCATAAAAAGAGAATTCGTATTTAATTTGTAAAATGTTCTTTAGCATTTGTTTTGAGGGAGTAAGTAATTAAATAGGCTTCTAAAGTTTAGAAATATAAAAAAAAATAGTAAATTCTATAGCAGATAACACAATAATAAAGACTTTTAGCAAAATAAGAAGCAAACCAATATTTGTTGATTTAAAACCTTTGGTTAATAATATATGTAACATATTTCTAGCTTGCAAAGAATTTCTATAAAAAATCTCGCTTCATTAGCACCACAAAGTATGCTTTAGCCAATTTTCTATCAAAGTGGGTAAACAGCAATTTTGCATTTTCCGCTCAATTTTCCACGGCCGCTCGTTAAGCGATAATAAGAGGTGTTTCTCTTAACATTCCTCTTCAAAACAAAGTACATTGTGAGTTGTTTGAATGCAATTAAATTATCATTTAATAAGGAGAGACTCGCCTAGCGGAACAAAACTATGTAAAAAATAGATTACAAAGTAACTGGAGTAACAACGAAATATTGGAATAATTTTGAGGATGAACATCGTGGACGTATTCTTGGTTTTGGTCTTTTCAAGAAAGTTTTTGTACCTTAAAAGGAGAGCGAATCTCCTTAACCTTCAAGTACTGACGTGGTTTACTCATACCATAAACGGTGACGTGACGTCTGTCAAACACCTTAATAATTAATCGAAATGGATTACTTGTATTTACTGATTTGCACAATATTTACTTGTATTCTGATCGGTCCATTATAATTCTATTAAGGAAGTGCAAAAAATACAACGTTCTCGGATGAAATCAGCGGTTTCTGATTCAAATTCTATAAACTTAAAATATAAATATTTCGCATAACTTAAAAAAATATATGTTAAAATCTTAGCTACAATACAATTATTTGGACGTTTTTTTGGAAAATTCTTATATTCGTGAACACGCCGTCTATGAGACACCCACGTCAGTAGTTAAAGGTTAAATAAGTCGCAACAAAAGATCCTAGGCGGGGCAGGCGCTACTGATTTCAAAATTTTCGGTGTGGACAAATTCGAAGCGTGTCCATCCATGAACACGAGCGCTCCACTTATTTAATACTCCATGCACTCGAACAGTGATTATTATGGGAACGTAGGTAACGGTGTTTGTATGAAATTAACTATTATGTTGTTGTAAAACGTTTCCACTAATTATCATATTAAGTGGGTATTTCTAAGATGTATTGTGGCAGTTTTCCGAGCCGCCCACAGCTCGGCGAGTCACGAATACAAACTCACACCAAATTATGGAACACACTGATTACATGCGTCGCTGTTGACATGACACATTACTGAGACACCTTACATAAAACATTGCAATATTAATTCACTAAATGCATAATCTTCATAAGATACCTACGTCTTATTCATGAGATTTATAGGAATACTAGGAATAGTTATAGATCATACCGTTAGTCTACTAATAATGCGATTCTGAGAATTGTTACCGTTCCAAAATGATTTTCTTTTTTTTTTATTATATTAAATACTACAATCTTTCTCCTTCGTGGGACATTCAGAAGTATATCGGTTTGTGCTAACGCAGACTCGCTCAGTATGTGGCCTGTGCCACATCTTCATTATTTAAACAGTAGTTATAATTACTGTGGTTGGATTAGGTATATTACCTCTATATAATATAACTGTGATAGGTCCAAAATGAATGACTAGAAAATATGGACAACATCCTCCAGTCCAGTCAACAGTCCTTACATTTATCATAATTATGTCAGTTATCAATAAACAAATAAAATTGTTAATTCAAATGTTCTGCTCAGTTCCAGCTAACGATCCAGCAAATCGCATCCCGCTACAAAACATCGCTCTCTTCCCCTTTTTCAAACAACGCTAATAAACTCCACAAGGTTCAATTAACAAAAAACGATTGAAAACTCGCGAACAACGTTACAAAAAACGAATCAAAAGAACTAATCATTCGAAATTGTGAAATAAGAAAAACTTGACCGTCGCGTCGTTCGTTCAACAGACGGACGGTTGGACGAAAAAAAAACCTCCACAAAAACCTGGTGTCCTATTAAACAGTGAGAGATGCAGGGAATAAATTATGCTAACCCATTTGAAAAGTTAAGGGCATCGCATAAAAGGGCCGGTATTAGGACCTTCCCGGAATACCGGCGCAATTCTCGAAACGGCATTAGAATACCATTTTAGAATAGTTCGTGAAGTTAATTTAAGTGCTCGTGTCTCTACTGAGAGCCTGGAGAACATTTCATTCGCGAATCCGTCACGTTCGCGTCGTTTACGCTAAATAACATTTTGCGTTTGTAAAACTAGCAACATAACAGTTGGAACTTCTCTATTTTTTGCTACGAAATTGTATTCCAACGCGTGCGGAAGCAATCCTATCCTACTTCCAATTTCTATCAGAAGTCATTATTTTACACGGACGAAGTCGCGGGTAACAACTAGCAATTTATAAAACACTAGCGGCCCGTCCCGGCTTCGCACGGGGGGACTTAGGTAAGATTTTTTACATAGTTTTACGTTTTATTTATATTTATTCTCAGTTTTTTTTTTATTTAGGAAGTATTTACCTTTTGAAAATATTTTTCCGGACTTCATTTATTGAACAATTCAAAAGTTATCTAGAGTAAACTTTTATAAGGATTGAACCATTCATTAAAACGATTGTTATGGGTAAACTATAAAAGGTAGACATATGCTCTCGCGGACTTTTTTAAAAATAATGTTAAGATGAACAATTCATCTATAGAGCATTTTTGTATAACTTTAACTATATGCTCAGCGCACGCCACGGAAGGCCTCAGAAACGATACTTTTCCCCCGTTTTTAAAACATTTTCGGTTACTGCTCCACAACTATAGGACCTAGGTCCTATTGGTCCGTGATATTATATAGCCTATGTTACTTCTGAATAATGCAGCTTTCTAATGGTGAAAAAATTATTGCAATCGGTCCAGTAGTTTTTGAGTTTATTCATTACAAACATACAAAAATACAAAAATACAAATCTTTCCTCTTTATAATATTAGTATAGATGAGATTACAATGAATCGGGAGCTAGGCATAGCGTTTTCAGTGTCAATTTAATTACCTAATTGACATACGAAACAAGGCTCACACGTAAATTGCCGATAAAATAATGTTCACAAAAATCTCCTAATTCCAACCAAAAACCTCTCAATAACTTTTAAAAACCAATTCGAGGGACTGTCTGTTAAACTGATAAGCATCCAACAACTGACTGCGTTCAGATCTTGATAGCAGTTACTTTGATTGATCGCACAACGGTTTACGTATACTTTGAAACCTCAGGAGACTTTAAAATCACGTGAATATTGTTACTTTACATTAATGAATATAATATTTGAAATAATTACCGTGATACGTACACAATCAATGTTTCAAAACACCGTCTATAGTTATTATTTAGCGGGGCCGTGTATTCAGTATCGCTCGATCAGCTATCGCGAGATCTCCACGCAATCGATCTCATGATGTTATCGAATGTGTGGGTTTATGCACTAATGAATTATGACGAAACGCCACGCGTATCCATAAACCTCGTATAAAAGCTTTATTATAACTATTTATTTATCATTCCTGTCACCACAATGGATAAAGATATCACTTGATCATGTTTTAATTGCAAGAATTTATGTACACCTCACACCTGTAGACGTCATTACTCAAGAAGATGCAAGACAAATTAATATAGCAGGCAGGGCTGGTAATAAAACATGTTGTACGCATACAGTAATTCATGTTTCTGTGGAAGAAAACAATAGGGCTAGACAATAGGGTTTCATAAACGGTGACCAGAAGATGGAAGGCGAATGTGTGAGGTCTAACGGCTCAGGTCGGAGTGGCTCGTAAATGTTCAAATGCCCATTCTACTGCGACAAAGAACTTGTCTCCGCTCACACAATATTGGATTAGTCGCCAGCTGCTGCTGTTGCTATGAATTTGAAGGAGATTTATTTACCTTTCGCCTTACCCGAGAAATGGATTTGGTTTGTTTAAAAGTAACAATTCAGAGGTGAGACAGGTCCCAAAGGAAATCGTAGACCTAATATGGAAAATATTGGAGGGCGTGTGGATTAACGCTAAGTAGATCCATCTAATCTATTGAAAACTTAATGTTTAATAACTACATAGATGTAGACATTTTTAAACATAGTATTCAGAATAAAATT